CAGTTAGTGACTTAGGAACTGAATAAGACTATATACATATACAAAACTTGGGAGTTGTCTACTTAGAGATAATTAAGCCCAGTGGAACTGATAAGGTCCCCGAATGAGAAAGTACTGAGAGAAAAGAGAAGAAAGCCCATGACAAAACCTTGGGATATACTCAAATTTGGGAAGCATGACATGGATGATGATCAAGCAAAGGTCAGACAGGTAGAAAGAAATTATTAAGGGGGAGAGAAAGAGGGTGGAGGCCGCGGTAAGGCCATGTTAAAATGAGATCATTGATAGCTTTTGAGAGAACAGCTACAGTCGGGGATGGGATCAGAAGCCAGACTACAAAAGATTTAAAAGTAAGTGGAGGAATACAGAAACAGAGAATTTAGCTGTGAAAGGGAAGAGATATAGGATGACAGCTTGAGGGGATGACCTTGTACAGGAAAGGGTTGGTTTATTTATATTTTTTTAAGCTAAGGGAAACCTGAGCGTGTTTGTAGGCAATGGGAAGAGAGAAGGAATGAGTTAGGAGCAAACTCCTGGAGAAAACACTATGTGATTGTAGATACCAGTAGAAGGATTGACGCTGACAAAAAGAAAAGCTACCTTTTCCTCAAAGATAAAAGTAGAGGAGAAGAAGAGAACTGGTGAGGATGTAGGAGCATTTTGACGAATGGCATAGGCAGATGAGGGAGCCACAAAGTATGGGTTCTGTTTCCTTGGTAAAGAAGAAGGTGAAATTTGCCACAAGAAAAGGGCATTTGGGAGATTAGGCTTTGAAGGACTAAGAAGTTGTCCACCTGAATAGTCTTCCCCCCCGGATTCCTTTATACTTTTCTTGCTTGGTTCTCCTACCTATATGAATGCTCTCTTTCTCTCCCCCTTAATAACCCTAACCCTAAATGCTATCCCTTCAGAAAACTCCAAAAAAAAAAAAAAATCACTCTATCTAAACCTAATCTCTCTCCTTTACTAAAGTGCCTCCTAGATGTCCCCTAGATTTCTCAAACTCAACATACCCAAGAGAAACTATCTTCTCCCCCAGAGCTGCTCTCATCCTCACTTCCCAAATTCCACTGAAAGCATCCCCGCCTCCTCCTAATCACCCAAATTCCTAAGCTTGGAATCATTCTCTTTACCCTCTTTTAATGACTCATATCTAATGAGCTGCCAAGTCGTGTCCATTCTATCCACCCTCCTCTCTACTTATGCAGCCACCAGCCTTGTTCAGGCTCTCCTCACTTCTCTCACCTAGGCTACTGCTGCAGACCATTCTGAAGGCACTATTCCAGTCTCTCCCCTCTCCAACCTGTTTTCTACATAGCTGCCAAAATAATCTTCCTCAACCACGTGGACACATCCCTATCCTGTTCAAAAGCCATCAAGTGGCTCCCCCGTTGTCCCCAGCCTGGCAAAGAAGCCTGGATTTCACAATCTAGTTTCCTGCTGTGTCCCAGACCTTTCCATCCCTCCTCTTCAAGCACTCTATGCTGTAGTTAAACTAGATTCCTAGCTGTCCAATGCATTTACATAGGCCACTACCATGCGGGCTATGTGCCCCTTCCGTATCGTGCCTTTAAGGCATGAAATTTTTCCTGACTCCCTCCCTTACTGTTTAGGTAACCAGATGACACAGTGGATAGAGCTTGATCCTGGAGTTAAGAAAGCCAGAGTTCAAATGCAGTCCAACACACTTACTAGCTGTGAGACCATGGGGAAGTCACTTCAACTTCTGTTTGCTTGTTTCCTCAACTATAAAATGGGGATAATAATAGCACCTACCTCTCAGGGTTGTTGTGAGGATCATATGGGAGTATATCTCTAAAGTGTTTAGCAGAGCACCTGGCACATGGTGCTATAGAAATGTTTATTCCCTTCCCCTGCCCTGCCTCAAATTGCCTTGAAGAATGCTTATCTATGTGAATCTTATATCCCCCACGTTTGCTTTGCATAGAGTAGGTGATTAATAGGATCACAAGATTTAGATTTGGAAGAAACCTTGGATAAATGTTTATAGAATTGAATTGAAACCAGTCATATGAAACATAATAAGGCCTCTCTGTAAGGCAGGGGCCAGTACCCACCTCACGCAGCCTTCTCAGCCACATCAGGATTTTACTGCAAAAAGGAGCTGGTCTGTACTGTGGGGTTGATGGCGCATGTCATACCAGGGCTCTGCTGCAGTTAGGAAAAATTAGCATTGCTTGCATATAATTGGCACATGCCCACACAGACCCATGCCTATTCTCAGGCAATTTTCACATTAAAATGTCATTCACTGCTCCCCTATAGGCTGTTATGTCTCTATTTTTCTCATGTTTTTCTTGGCTCCCTATCACCCTCCCACCTTCTCTGGCCCACCACAAGTTACAGAGAAGAAAAAGGAGAGGCTAGATGTAGGGGAAGGGTGGGTGGTAGGGAAAAACTTAGGGGAAGAACTGCCTCTGAAGGCTGAGCTCCCCCCACCTCCTATCTGTTTTCACCAGCTTCCCATCAATAAACACTGAAGTGCCTCTTAGCACTGTGCTAGGTAGGAGAAACTCCTACTGAACTGCAGGAACAGTGGCAATCACTGCACAACAAAGGTACTCATGTCTCTGCCTGAACTGTGACAGGTTACCTGGAAAACATGTCTCCTGGTTGGGATCTGGAGTTGAGTAAGAAGGATGTGGAGGAAGAAGCTTCTAGACAGCACAAACTATGACTAAGACTAGGAAAATCAACCTGGGGACTTGGGCTAAGAACAATCAGAGCTGTGGGACTGTGGGGGGAAAAAAACACATTTGATTTTGAAGTCACAAGTTCTAGGTCTGAATCCCAACTTCTCCACTTATACCTGTGATCTTTGGCAAGTCACTTAACCTCTGAGCACCAGTTTACTCATCTTATCCAGCTCCATTACTTACCTCACAGGGTTGGAGTAAAGAACAAATGAAAGAATGCGCAGGAAGATGCTTTGTCATCCTGAAAGCACTACATAAAAATGAGCTGTTATTATAATACTCCTGCATATTTTTCCTCCATCATTTCCACAGGGAGAATCCAGCTTTCTCTCCCACAATGACTTAGGGAGAGCTGGTGTTTTAACTGCTGAAGCTTCTCCTTGGAAGTCCAGAGCCTAAGAGGTTAAATGACTAATAACAGTTAATATTTATATACCATATTAAGGTTTACAAAGTGCTGTACAGTGAAAAGAGCATTGGCTTTGGGTCAAAGGACTTGTGTTCAAATCCCAATTCTGATGCTTACTACCCTGTGTGACCTTGGGCAAGTCACACAACTTCCTTGGGCCTCAGTTTCCTCATCAGCAATATGAGGTGGTTGGACTAATTGGCCTTCCAGGTCCCTGTGAGCTTTAGATCTCTGATGCTATTGTCTCATTTGATCCTCACAACAACCCTATGAGGTAGATGCTAATATTTTCTCTCATTTCACAGATGAAGAAACTAAAAGGTTAAGGGACAGGCCCATTGTCACACAGCCAGGAAGTGTCTGAGAAGGAATTCCAACCCAAGTCTTCCGGACTCCAAGTCTATCATTACTATACCACACTGGCTCTCTATGACCCTGTAGATAGATGGAAAGAAACCTGGATTTTAAGTCAACTGAATCTCAGGAGTTACTAATTTTGTGTCTTTGGGCAAGTCACATCCCCCTTGAGCTTGTTCTTCTACATATAAAATTGGGGAAGGGAGGGTGTACTCAATCTCCAAAGTGAGAGCTAGATCAAGTTCCAGACTTAGAAACAGGAAGACCTAGGTTAAATTCTACCTCTGATACCTCCTAGCTTTGTGATCATGAACAGGTCAACATCTCTGAGACTCTGATGTAAAAAGGGGACAGTAACACCAGAAAAGTGTTGTTAAGGCTCAGATAAGATCACATTCATGTCAAGTGCTGTGTAAACTTGAGGAGAGGGGCCTCTGACCTCCAGTCAAAGGCTAAGGCTCAGCACACACCTTCCTTTCTCATCTCTCCCCCACCTCCCACACTCTGACATTCTATCACCAGGAAGAATACAAGGCCCAAAGTGGCAAACTTCTCTCTTACTTCAAAATTTTGTTGATGATACCCAATTCCCAGACAAGCTTGCTGAGTCCAGGGAACTTCTGGCTTTCTTCAGGACTAGCCTCAACCTCCCCTTTCAGGCATTTAGGCAAGTTCTTTCTTACTCTGAGACTCAGTTTCTTCATATGTCAAATAAGGAAGATGGACCAGATGGTCTCTAAAGTCCCTCCCAGCTCTAATATATTATGAGAATGCCTCCCTGATTCTCCTCCCTCTGGCTGGAAAATATGACTTCTTCTTTTTCAATAAAGAACTACATGCCCAGCCTAAGAGGCTACCTTAAAGTTCCCTTTCTGTTTTTGTGCCACTTAAGGCTCACCTTTCCTTCCCCTAAACTCCTACCTCCCTTGGAAACACTTGATTTATGGCTGGAAGGAAACCGAGAGATCATCCGGGCCAAACCCTTCATTCTACAGATGAGGGAACAAACCCAAGGAGGTTGACGTGCTTAAGGTTGAGCAAGAACAGAGCCAGGACCTAGGCTCTCTGATGCTAAATTGAGTTTTCAGGCCATTAGCCCACAGCTGCTTCTGTCTGGGGACCTCATCTGGTGCTAAATATATGCAAGGTCTAAGTTATTTAGTTATTTCTTTTGTGCATGTCTTATGTTTTCAACCATTCTGGGAGCTCTGCTAAGGCAGGAACCAAGTCTTACCCTTCTTCCACATACCATGCCTTCCCTCCCCCACCAGCAATATTAAATGGAACCCAGCCCATGACAAATATTCCACATGGACTTGTTGAATGAATGAATGAATGCTCTGTAGGATTAATATTGGCTTCTAAACTATAAAGAGTTTCTGGGCCTGCTATAAGCCAACACTTCCCTATTTCTCTTGATTCTTCAGGGAAAATGACCCCTGTTTTAGCCCAAGCTACAGCCCTGGGACTGGGGATATTTCATCCCCAAAGAACTGTGAGGAGGAAATTAGACACACCTCTGACGGCTTCTTCTCTTTTTGCCTGGGCCAACTGGGCTTGTTGGTGGGAATCTTGGAACATCTTGAATTGGAGGTGGTGTGACCTAGAAAGAATGAATAGGGAAGGTTATCCACAGAGTTGGCTCCCCAGCACAGAAACCTGGCAAGCCTCCAGAGGGCCCCAAACCACCTGGAAGACCAAATCATCAACCCTGGACAAAGAGGAGCCTGAAATCCCAACAGTAACAACCTTAGCCACAGCACCAACCTTTTATGGCTAAACCAAATAGAGTGCATATTAAAAGTTGCCTAAAAATTAAAGTTTAAACTGAGTTGAACAGCAATTTATTCCCAAGGAATAATAAAGACGAGTTTTGGGGAAGCCAGGGGAGCAGCAACTAACCAAAAGGTCTAAGTAAGCTGTTGGAAACTCTGAACTTCTGTGACTTAGACACCACAAAGACAGAGAGAAACATAGGATCCTGGCTGGAGGCCAACTGGGCCTTAAATGCTGATCTGTAATTAACTTTACAGAAAACTCAGAAAACACTACATATCCCATGCCTTTCTTCCCACCACCTTCAATTACCTAGGATGACAGCTAAAGATCTGAGAAAAATGAGGTCTTCTATGCTACTCTCAGACCTTTCCATGATTGTGTGAAGTACCTTTCCCCTGTTCTATGGCTCAGTTTTCTCATCTATGAAATGGAAATATTGTCTTTACCCTTTAACCTATCCCATAGTCCTTTTGAGGATGATCGGAAGGATCAAGTTAAAAACTGGATACAGCTCCCAAATACGGACTAGGTGGTATGACTTGGGGTACTTGTTAGGTTCGACTATGTGTCCACTTTAATATGGCAGAGCAGGCAATCACCATGCCCCTAAAATGTCATCACACACTGGAAATATACCCCTTGGCAATGAGGCTCCTTGAAATAGCTGTAGGGTCACTATTCTTTCCTTTTAAGGTCATGCAAAGAAGCCAGACATCGATGGAAGAGAGAGGGCTTTGAGAGGAGAAAAAAAGAGTTAGGAAACAACCTATTCCTAGCTCCCCAACCTCTGAAAAACAATTGTGTAGGAACCTTTACAACTTCTCCATTCAGAAATTTCCTATCTTTCCATATATAATCCACTCAGAGGTAACAAAAAAACAAACAATCAAAAGTTTCCATTTAGTTTCTCTGAACCAAGTTCCTACCACAGGGCAAAAAATCTCCCACCAACCATAACAATACTTCCTTCTCCCACTAAGTAAAGCCATCAAAAAAGGTCAAAGTTTTGTTTACAATTGTAACCAATTACTGTAGTAGGAGGGAAGTTTTTTTTTTTTTCATTTAGCTTGAATATCAAAGTCTGCTGAGATAAAGGTTCTGAGGCCTCTGACTATCACAGGCTCAGACTCTTTAAGCTTTCCATTTTAGGAAAAGAGAATTTGGCTTTTGGCCAAAGGGGCACATACAATTTGGAATCCAAGTCCCAGAGCTAAGAGTCCCCTCAAATAGTCTGGTGTAAATCCCTAATCAAAAGGATGGGGCAACCAGGAGGGTAGTGAATAGCCTAACTTCACACAGTACAGTGAGGGGCTAACACAGCCTACCCCTTCCAGTCCAAGGCTCCTTTGGCCATAGGAAGCTGCCACCGTCGAGGCAGGAGCCCAACGGTCTAATGCTCTGAGGGGCAGAGGACCAGGCACAAACCTAGATAAAGCAAAGAGTCTAGGCTCCCACCCACCTAAATGCTACCCTTCCTTCACAAACTGTTTTTCATTACCCATTCGTACTGTTTCACTACTTTATCCTGTGCTTTTGCACCTCTTGTAAGTAATATTGCCCATACCTGGAAAACACTCTCCCAAGCCCTCATTTCAAGGCCAGATTCCTGCCGCTGCCTTCATGAAGCCAACTCTTGAGTGGAAAATGATCTCTGCATCCTCAAATTGTGTGTGTGTGTGGGTGTGGGTGTGGGTGTGTGTGTAATGGAAACTCTTCAAGGGCAGGGACAGTGTTCCCATTTCATCTTTGTGTACCCAATATGCACCCAGCACCAGCTTCCATGGATTCAATTATCATCTCTCTGTTGATGATTTTCAAATCTATTTATCCAGCCCTGACCCCTCTCCAGACCTCAAATGTCACATTTCTAACATCTTAAACTACTGGTTGGTCTCCCTGCCTCCAGTCTCTCCCCTCTCCAGTCCATCTTCCACTCAGCTGTCCAAATGCTCTTTCTAAAGCACAGGTCTGACCATGTTACCTCACCCCACCCCCATCCTTCTGTGTCTTCTCTAGGATCAAATATAAAATCCTATTTGGCTTTTTAAAACTTTTTATAGTCTGCCTCTTCTCCCCTGGCTCCCAAACTTTTCCAGTTGTTGACTGACTGGCTGATCTGGGCCTGAAAGGAATAGAGAGACCTAGGTAAATCAAGGAAGAAACAGTCTAATCAGAGGTGGGAAATGAGGGGGAGGGGGAGGGGGAGGAAAAGATGGCTAACCTAACTGGAGTAGAAAGTGAGAGCTGCAGGAGTATTCTTTCCTGAGGTAGAAGGATTCTCTTCAATAGATGCCTCTGGCTTACAGACACAACTTTGTTTATTTACAATGCTTCAAAGTCTTCCTCTATTCAAACTTCTCTGATTGCTAAATTCCAAGACCCCTGAAGTCTGTGGGCTTTACACTCAGATGAATGGTGTTGTGGAAAGGGTTCAGTATTAGAAATCAGAAGCTTTTTGTGAGTTCTAGTCCTCCCTCTCAATGGCTTCAGATGACCCTGGAGAAATAGTTCACCCTGCAGCCTGTTTTACCGTCTACAAAAATAGGATGTTGATACCTGCCTGCCTGCCTTAGGAGCTGGAAGGTGTGGAGGTCATCTAGTCCTAATTGTACAGAAGAGGAGACTGAGGCCCAGAGAAATAAAGGTACTTGCCCCAGGCTACAAGTAGATTTGAGGCTAGAATGCAAGTCCCAGGACTCCTAATCCAGCACTCTTAATCATTGTAAGAACTTGGTAAATCAGGAGATACTCTACAAGGACGAGGATGAGACTTTTTTTCTTTAAAATAACTTGAGGAGGATTATTGTTATCATGTGATTTTTAAGAGATTCCCAATCACCACGTTAGACTAATCACGGGGTTCTCCCTCAGCAGCTGATACCTCAGCACAATACCAAAATGTTTTATTTAAAACAACATGAAACCATTGGTAGGAAAGTCTCTGTTTTTGTTCTGTGACTGCTTGACCGGGCCTCAATTTTTCTCTTCTGTGAGATGAAGGGGTTGTGCTCCCTTCCGTTAGTGATACTAGGCTTCTAAAAAAGGAAACCATTGAGTGCTTTGGGCCGCAGAATTTGTTTCAACTATTCAGTCCCTACCTCGGTCCAAACAACTGTTTCTGGGGTGCAGAGAAGTCTTACGATTCTTAGTTTCCTCCAAAAGTCAGCATAATTCAACATAACCTCCTCCACCAAGTCTTTCCTGATTCTCTCTCTTCCTTCCCAGGCGCTAGTGCCTTCCCCCTACAAAATCACCCCGTATTTTTTTATATGCCTCTATGTATACCCATCACCTCTCCCCACAGCATATAAGGTCCTTGATCAGGACTTTTCTATTTTATCTGTTTCCCAGGGCCTAGCACAGGGTTGGTGCTTAATAAATACTTACTGATTCCATTTCAGTTTTCCCTTTGTCCCTCCCTCCCCATACTCCTCCCACCTCCTCCTCCTGGAAGCCTAGACAGGCTGGTTCTGTGTGGTGTTCTACTCTAACTCAAACTTGGATATCAGAACAGTGTCAGCTGATAAACAGAATCCCTGGGGGTAGAATCCATTTGTGGATTTTGGGTTTTGGGGGGGTTTTAAAAACTTTTCTAAAGAACTGAAGCCCAGGTACAAGCTATGGTAAAGTGACCATCCAGCTAGGGCAGTTCCACCCCAACCCCCACCCCCACCCCAGCAAAGTAATTATTCAAATGCCTTCCCAATTTGAGGTGAATAGCTTAGTTATCATGTTCAAAGCCTTGAATTAAAGGTCTTACTGTCAGTGGTGTCTGAGTTATCACTGCTGATGGAGTATTTTCGCCTCTTTTCTTCCATCTGTAACAAAAATAAATTGAACATTACACTTATAGTTCAGGAAACTCATTATGGAAGCAAATCATTATTATCTCCGGGTATCAGCACACCACCCAAACACCACTACAAACACTCACCCTCAGGCATTCAAAAGGAAGCAGAATGTACCACTCCCCCACCCCAGACCCCTCCCAAGAGGGAAGCAGGAAGGCTTTGGTCCTAATATTGAAGCCAAAGGCCTGGCAGACCAGGCCTCTCCCATCCTCACTTCCTTCCCTGTAGGGAATTTTACCCAAGATGAAATATCTACTAGCACTGGCGAGAAGTCTGGTACCAGGAGCCAAGGTGGCAGAAGAGGAAAGGGAGAGAAAGGCGAGGAACTCCTTTAAGCATGCCGAGCCCAGTACTCTAAGGCAGAACAGGAAGTCACCTGCGGTCTTGGAAACCTTCTGAACCATTCAGTCAATCAGCTGTTGTACCAGGGGAAGAAGGGCAGGGGCAGGTCCCAGGTTTAGTAGCACACCTTTAGAAAGGTACCTGGCCACTTCCCAGGCAAGGCAAGCAAATGGAGGCCCAGGCGAAAACTGGGTGGCTGAGAAGGGAAGCAGCTTAAAGAAAGCCCTTTTATCTTGGGAAAGGAAGGGAACTGTTTACATTACAAAGGTATCCTTTCCTCTAGTTTCATTCATTCATTAACAAGTGTGAAGGCCCAGGAAGAAATCCAGAGTGGGATTCCAGCCCTGGGAAAGGAAATAATTATAACAGCTAGAATTATTTTGGTGCTTTAAAGTTCGCAAAGGGCTTCATATATATAATCTCAATTGATCTTCGGAACAGCCAGGTTATCATTCCCATTTTACAGATGAGGAAACTGAGGCCTAGAGAGGTTAAGAGGTACTCAGGGCCACACAGTAAACATCTACAGCAGGGATGAAATTCAGGTCTTCCTAACTCTAAGCCCAGTACTCAATTCAGGAAGTCACCTACCAAATAAGTCTTCCAGTTTCATGAATCAGTTCCAAGAAAACTAGCCTCACGTTTAATTCTGGATCAAAGGAAGGGATTTAGTGGGTTCTCCCTCACTGGTACCATGAGACGGCCATTTGTCAATGACATAGAAATGATTCCTGCCCAAGTACACAGTTTGGACAGTTGGCCTCTGAAGTATTCTCCAACTATAACATTCTGTGACACTGTGACCAAAGGCTGTTCTACTCATTCATTCAAAAAATGTTGAATAAGTGACTGCTACAATTTACTAAGCCCAGTGCTAGTAGTAATGCACAAAAATTCAATGAAAATCAGATCAATGCCCTCAATGAGTTTATATTGGAAGAGAAGTAGAGGGATATAACAAGTTCACAACAATAATGATCTATCCAGGGGAGAAAAAGTGGATGAGGAATGTCTATCACCCAGACTATAATATGCAATGGGACAGAGAAACTACAGAGCTGCCCCCACAGTATGTATATCTTGAACAACTATTGCAAATGGACAATAAATTAAGCTGAGGATTTAAGAGGAAGAAGAAAGCCAGGAAGGATGCCTTGGGGAAATTGCAAAATTCTTTTAGGGATCCCAAAAAAAGATCCATCTTTTTAATATCAATATCCTTTAAAGGGTTTGTATGACTGTGGCATGTGAAATGCTACGATCTCATAAAAACTAAAGACCAGGATCACCTAGAAGACAATGAAAATCGGCCCATGGTGGATGTGAGTACATAGCAAAATATCACAAACAGAACTACTTATGAAAGAAAGTAATGGGTGTCATCAGAAAGAAAAAATGAAATAGGCAGGATTGTCACAGGATAAGCGCAAGAGATAATCAATGTTTTGCTCCCAATTATTATCCTCTCATATCTTCATAATGTCAAGAAAAATCAAGGGGGAACCCCGGTATATTTTGTACAAACTGATGGGAGGACATGGGCAAGAGCTGTGAGGAAGAGACAGGCAAGGATGGATGGTGATTTGCATTTTGGGAGGAAATACCCAGACCCCAAGATCTGACGGCATCCATTTGGGTATTTGAGCTATAATATATTGAAGGATGGGGTATAGGAGAAGTACAAGGGAGAGCAGAGGAAAGTCAGGTCATTTCCACTGTGCAGATGTTCTCTTAATGCATGAATTCTGAGAGCTGTGTCTCTCTATCCTCACTGTGACAAAGGTACCTCACTTGAGAAATGACTAGTCAGATACTGGCTGAATATGAGACCAGGAAACAAACAATGCTGACTGGGCCTGCTGGGATCTACCTTGACCTAATGTAAAATAACAAGAGAGTTTAACCACTAAACTAATATGACCAGAAAATACGTCATTAAGACAGTGACTTCTTCACAGAGTCAAGTAACTAAGGAAATACATGGGAATATCTGGAAATCTGTAGCAAGGTATGTAAATATAATTACATAAAAGGCATTTCTTCTCCTGAATCAGCCCCTGTTGCTGTTTGCTTTTCTGTACATTAGGAGGTGGTAAGTATGAGCTCAAAGCTAGTTAAATGGCAGCTGAAGAAAGAAAAGGCAGGAAGCCCTGTCATAAACAGACATAAACATCTTAGATGCCTCTGGTGACTTAAGTCGGTAGCAAGGCAGCCAGGCAGTGAGCCCTAAGGGCTAGGCACAATAGTAAGGCAAGAGAACTACTAAAAAGATAAAGGACTGAGGATCTCAATTCCACCAAGCATGTAAGGCCAAGAGAATTTTGGAAAGTGTGTTGTTTGTCTTTCTGCCAGTACCAAGTAGTACCTACAAGTGCCTAACACGCAAAATTGGTCTCTGTCACAGAAAGGACAGATTCCTCTGCAATCTGAAACAAAAGGGAGATTGGGGGGGGGGCAGGGGGTGGGAGGAGAAGAGGAGACACAGAAGGATTCTAAATGGTATGAGGAGGTTGGAAGGCAAATAAACAAGATCCTAGAAAGAAAAGAATGAATGAATTAAAAAAAGAGAAGAAAGAAAGAAAGAAAAATGCTAACCATGTCCCTAGCACAATGCAATGCACCGGGATACAAATACACAAGACAGACTCTGATCACACAAGGTGCTTCCATTCTAATAAGGAGAGATGACATAAATGGGGAGCCATCTAGAGAAGAGTGTTTTGGTCTGGAAATACCTGTGAATGGTAAATGGGACAACAGGGCAGACAAATCACAAGCCCTTCTTAGGAGCAACCATGGGGTTGATTTTTATCATAGTTACCAGGGCCAGAGGTGGGAAGGAGAGAGGAATGGTGGTATCACCCATTGCAGATCAGAAGATAGGCAGACTGAAAGAACATGGTGTGGTCTGTGGCAGGCCAGATAAAGGGAGGTCCCACTAATCAAAATGGTAGAGATTCCAAGACTAGAGTTTCAAAGCACCTTCAGGGCACTGCCCTGAACATCTGAATCTAAGTAATAAGTACAGGGCTCTTTCTGCAAAAGCAGGTAACTGGGCCTTCAATGGAGTAAGTAGCTTCTTATTCTTTAAAGAATGATGTGGCCCTTCAGGTGCTATTAGGAAACAGCGGTGAAAGATGACTCACTACCAAGTGGTTGCTTCTCATTGTAACATAAACAAGAGGGAGATTATTGTCTTCCAGGAACTCGTATCCAGAACATAAGAGAACACCTTCTAGGACTTGTCAAACCTATCTATTGCTGGAAATTCATGTGAGAATAAATGATGTCATCAGAAATAACCTAGAAAGCATTGCTAAGGGATGATGACACCCTGGTCAAGAAACTGAAGAATTTAAGAGTTTGAGATTTTTTTGTTTTGCTTTGTTTGGTAACACTATTAAGAGAGGCAGTGTGGCACAGTGAAAGGAGCGCTGGCCTTGAAGCCAGGAAAAACCTAGGTTCGAATCATGCCTCTGACACATACTATCAGTGTTGTGTGACTCTAGGCAAGTTACCTAATCTCTTTAACCCAAATTCTGACTCTCTAAGACTATAAAATGAAGAGAATACACAGGCCTGCACTGGTAGAAAGCTTCCTGTCCCCAGAATTTGCAATGAGTGAAATCACAGGTGCAATCCCTATTCCTATCCCTACTACTGACTGAAATCGGAGGCTTGAGAAAAGAAAAGAAAATTTGGGGAGTGAACAATTGGCTACGAATATGGGGTCTCAGAATAGACAGGAATGATGGGCATGTACCTAAGAAAAGATAGTAAAAAAAACACGTGCCTGTAGTTTTGTAAATCTCATCAAGAGAGCTTTAAAATGAAAAGGAGAGGAGGGAAAAATATCTCACATAAAACTGACAAACTGGCACACAGCACGGGAAGAATGGGAGAGGAACAGTAATTAATGGGAGAGGATAACACAAGGCAATAAAGCCAACTGCCTCAGATATCTATATACAAATATAAAAAAGTAAGGGTAATAAACAGGTTCAAGTAGAAATCCTAAAGTGATGAAAAAAATTCTACCTCTTGAGCATCATCGTGACTTGGTAATTTAAGAATACCTCAAAGAATCAAGCTGTGTTAACTGACAAAGTGCATTTTTTTTATCTATAAGGCAAAGAAAACAGAGATGATGGGATGAAAATTTTACTTCAAATTAAAAGTATGATATCTGCTTATGATTATTTGTATTTAAACTGCATTATCAAAGCTATCACTTCGATCCTTGCCCTGCTTTCACACCAAACCTCCTAGAAGAAATTCCTTGCCTCTACTTTCTCACAGCTCATTCACTTCCCAGTCTCTTACAATCTGGCTTCTAACCCTACCACTGTTCTCCCTGAGGCTACCAAAAAGCTCTTAATTATTAATCCCATCATCTTTTCTTAGTACTCATCCTACTCAACTCTCCATCTTTTGACACACTACTCCCTTCTCCTAGATATTTTCTCCTCTGGTTTTATCACTGGTTTCTCTTGATTCTCTTCCTTTGTGATTGTTTCTTCTTAGTCTCCAAACCCTTAGCATGGGGTATCCCCTCAAGGCTCTGTCCTGAACCCTTTTCTCTCTAAATAACATTTATGCTGATGACTATTAAACCTATATATTCT